TAAAATAAAATAACCAACTTTTGAAAAGCAATAAACAAGCTTCTTTCTATTTCCCTTTGTGTGTGTGTGTGGGGGGGGGGGGGGCTGCTCTGTATCTCGGGCTAGCTTCAAACACACTGTGATCCTCCTGCCTCAAATTTCAAGGGCTGTGATTATCTTTTGCTGCTTACTGAGTTTCTAAGATGATAAAAGGGATCCCTGGTAAATGAAGTAGGGGAATGTAAAGGCTTTACCAAAGCAGCTGGATACAAACATGTTAAGAAGTGAGCATGGCTGTGTTATAACAGAAAAATATTTCCAAAAATGGGGATTCCAGGGGCTTTATATTAAGCTCACCTGGCACCTTTAAGCCCAAAAATCTACAACCTGCTCTGTTAGGAATGAAAACATGAAAAATGAGTTTCGTTTGCTAGGTCTATAATCCTGATACTTTGGCAGGACGATCCCTACAAACTGTCGGCCAGTCTGCATTACGTAGGGAACAAGCAGACCAGCCTCAGCCACGTGAGCGATCGTTTCAAAAATAAATAAATACACCAATAAAGAAATAAAGACCAGAAGCAGTAACGCCAGCCGCAATCCCAGCATTTGGGGAAGTGGAGGCAGGAGGATCAAACATTCAATGATTATCTTCTATCCCCCGCCACCACCACACACACCCGGAACAGAAAAGTCTATTAAATGCAAAACAAATGAGCCACACACACGGAACGGAAATAAGTTAGACCACTACTTGACTAGTTGGCCTCCTTCCCACAAAGGCTGAGAACACCTGATTCACCGATGCATTAAAATCCAGAATGAAAAAATGTTAACATTTTTTTTTTTCCACTCCCTTCTTCAAATCTGAGCGAGAGCTAGGAGTCTCTTTAAGGAGAGATTACACTGTAAAAATGTCTACGCCCTACCATCTGGCACAGCAGCACGGGCTGCAAGGAGCAGCTCAGCTCGGGGATGGGGTGAGGGGTGAGCCCCAAGTCCTTGTCTTACCGCGGGACATCACTTCCGTTCCTTCCACTCCGGCTCAAAGCGCTACACGCGGGAAAAGCAGCTTCCTCCAGAGGGAGTTGAGGAGTGGCTAAGGAGACTACATTTCCCGAGAGACCGTGTCGGCAGCGACGTAGTGGCGAGATCACCCGGAAATGGATCCTGGCTGTTCCACTGGCGTGAGCTGGGGGCTACAAGACGGTCGAGTCCTAGGAATCTTTAGAGCAAACGGGGTTTGCTGGCAGAACAACTTTCCGGTTTTAAACCAGAATCAACCGAGAAGAGCCTTTAAGGAGGCAGAAAAAGCACGTGCTCATGTTCTTCTTGCCTATCCAGCAAGTTGGAAGTCAGCCCGTCTTCAGCAGCCCTAGCCGCATAACCCCAAAAAGGGGATTGGGGGAGGAACAATGCCAGACTTAAATCAAAGCACTACTTGCTGACTCTCAGGGATTCCATCTTTGGGGAAGGGGCTTTAAACTTAAAAGAATCCAAATAACAGGTAGTAACATCTGAAGTGTATTTCATGACCTATTTCATTTACCAAATGGTATATTTTAATGTAGGCAGGTTAGGAATAATGTACACACCCACAGTTTTGCAAGGCTGTTTAAAAAATGCTCCTAACCCAGAGGACCCAGCAGCAAAAGATGTAGTATCATCTAGACTTTTGCACAACTTTTAAAGCAGTGGCTCTCTGCTTTTAGTAATTTTATTATCATGGTTTACCTTATCAGTAGAGGTAGTTGTCAGGCTTAACTTCATGGATGGTGGGCTTTCTGCTTTGGGTTTTTTGTTGTTGAGGTAAAGGTACTTTTAATTGTATGACCTCCTTCCCTTCTTTATAGTGCTCTAGTTGTTCGTTTTCAAAACATATTACAGCCAGGCGGGGTGGCGCACGCCTGTAATCCCAGCAGTCACAGAGGCAGAGGCCAGCATGGCAAGAGTCCAGGGCAGCCAGCCAAGGCTACACAACCAAACCCTATCTCGACACCCCCCCCCAAAAAAAAAATAAAAAATAAAAACACATCACCAGTACTTTACAATATTCCCTTCTAGCCATGTCTAAGTATTTAGTATTGCAGATAAGCAAGTTTGGCTAAACTCAAGCCGGAACATTAAACACCCCCACTGCCTTCCTTTAAAAACAACAAAAATCTGGTGATGATTTTGTACAACTTGTCTGAAACAGCAAATTTTATATTGTAAAATTTTTTGTTATTTTGAAAAACAAGTTCATTATGTTCATTCAGATCGCTTTACAAAGACAAGGTGGAATTTTTCTGTGTCCCACATAGGGTTTTTTTGTTTTTTGGGGTTTTTTTTTTGGGGGGGGGGGTGTGTTGTTTTATGAGGCAAGATTTTACTATGTAGCCTACTCACAGCAATCCTGCCTCATTTCCCCGAGTGCTGGGATTGCAGGCATGTGCCACCATTCTTGGTCTCAACATCGTTTTTCTTTTAAGGAAGGGGTACACGTGGTCCAGGTAGGACTCAATTTAAGTATGGCACTGAGGAGAGTCTTGAATCCTATTCCTTCTGTTTACTTCCTGAATGATAGGGTTACAAACATGTTGACCATACCACATCTTATGACCGAACCCATGGCTTTGTTCATGCTAAGGAAGTACCAGTTGAGTTTCATTCCCACCCTTCCACACTATTTCAAAATAAGAGGGCCTAGGGTTTTTATTGTTGTTAGTGCATTTATTTGAATTTGTGAGTGTGTGCACCCGTGCACGTGGGTGCACGTAGAGATCAGAAGTTCAGGAGTTGGCTCTCTCATCCCACCAAATGGATCTGTGCTTGAACAAGTGGCCCGGCTTTAGCTACTTACTTATTAGCACCTTTAGCTCCTGAGCTAAAGTCCTAGGCTTGCTCTACCAAATATGTAACAACAATATATCATTGGTATTTACCCCGAGACCCAGGTTTGGGGACCCACTATCTATCTATATTATTTCATTATTTTAAAACATGAGCTAGGAATAGTGGCGTACATTCGTTACGAAGGAAGAAGGCATGGGGACTAGTACTTTTATATCATCCTCACCAACATTACCAGTTTTGATGCCAGCCTGGTATATGTTAAGATCCTATCTAAAAAACCCACATTTTTCAAAATACTTTTCCCGAATCATCCTTTTACATATTAAGTGAGAAAAACGGGGGAAAATTAAGTAGATAAATGACTAGGTGCAAATTATAAAATGAATTTTCTGGAAAGCAATTATGACTAATACTTCTTCAAACTTTTGACGAATAACTTTAATTCTGGAACTTGATAAAGAAATGGGGAAAAAAAAAAACAGGACAAGATGGCTCAGTAGGCAAAGGTGCCTGCCACACAAGCCTTGTGACCAACCTGAGTTCAGTTCCTGGACACCGCATAATGATAGAAGCCACAATGTTGACATTTGACCTCCACATTCATCCCGTGGCACAAATGCCTCCTACCCCAGTAATAATAATTTTTAAAAAATGAATAAAAACTAAAGACTTTCATTAAATAATTTACTTAAAGTGTATCAAATATGTACACATATGAAACCATTGACAAATGTGTAAATATACACATAATGATAAACCGAATATAATATAAAGCAGATCAACTGTATAGATGGATGCAAAGAAAAACTAGTGAACACTGTCTCTGGATGATATTAGCTTTTTTTCTCTCTTTCCACAGAGAAAGCTGCAGTATTTAATTTGTTTTGAATTATTTAATTCATATACGAACCAAAAATTCCAAAAGACAATGAGAAGTCAAATAATAACAAGAAGCAGTTATTTATTATACATGTTACAGAAATCTGAGTACTAGAACACTAACGGGCAATAAATAGTAGTGTTAAAATTTCAACAGATATTAAGATATGAAATACCACATGAATAAAAATAAAACAGAAATAAAGAAAGAATTGAACCTCATCGATTAAAAAGAAGAGACGCTGGCTTTTACACTTTATCTAAAAACATCATGCAGTATTTCTGAATAAAAATGGGGACAACTTTGTGGGGAAGAATTTGGCAAGTAATTAAACACGTGATTCAATGTTGATTTGACATAATTCCAAGTAACTGGATGTATTCTGATTAAAAACTTTAGTTTTATTTTTCTTTCGTGTACAGCTAACAAAAAACAATCTTTACTATTAGATGAATCAACCCAAGAAATTATCTTTTTTTTTTTTTTTAAATCTGTCTGCACCAAGTCTGGTTGCCTTAAAGCCTGTGCCAGATGACAAATCAAGCAAAGACAAGGGTGTGTCCAGCATGCTGCAGCTGACCATTTTATGCCCTGTATAGAACAAAAAAATACAGAAGACAACTGTAAACGAGGAGCCATCCCAAGAGTTTCCACATCAACAATTTCCTTTCTGTCTCCCTTTTGGGCAACCAAATACTTACTATGCACTGGGGTAAAAACAGTTAAGTCTCCTTTCTTACTGCTTTGGTGAAGGTAGAAACCTTAGAAAGGTAGAAACTAGAAAGTTTCAGACAAAAATTGAAATAACTCAGTTAACTGTGTTCCTTAGGTATAAGGGATAAGACATGTTTAAGAACAGAGGGATATGAAGCAATAAAACCTGGAGAAATACCCAGTCTCGGCCATTCAACTGGGCTATAAAACCTTAGACAACGGAATCTGTGTTCTTCAGAGTGCTCATCTATAATAAAATAAGTAATACTTTAGCTACTCCATAGGTTTGTGAAGATTACGAAAAAAGCTAAAGAATTATGCAAAACCCTTAGACTACTAATTTTGTGACCTGTACATAAAACTATTAATAAGCAAGCCCAGAGAATGAAACAAGAACAGCAAAAAAAAATCATTGGCAGGATTAATAGAAAAGTTATCTCCTTTCAGAATTCTTTACCTTTTCCTACATCTGAATGCTAAATTACTCGCTTTAAGCAATTACCTATAGATTTCTTTTCGCTAGCAATCCTCAGTTCAGGAACAGTTCAGGAACCAAAAACCAAACAAGCAACCTCCAACCTCCCAGCTTTACCTCAGACCAAACCATGCAGAAAGTTCTACAGAAGCGAGAGACACGCAAGTCCGGTTACTTTCCTCTCCCGACCGCCTTTACTTTTCAGTGTCCCTGCGTGTTAGTAAGAGTTTCCGAAGGCCGTTTGCTCAGATCTTGGTTTCAATCAATGTAATGAGCATTTAGCAACACAGCCAAATCCCAAGGGTTTTCGGCAGACAGTACAGTGGTAGGGTACTTCCCTACGTTCTGCTAGTCTGCTGGCAAGAGAGTCCGTGAAGAACTGAGAACGGCCAGGATCACGCAGGAGTCTTTCGCCTAGGCTCCGCCAGAACGTGGCTATAGGCGGAAGATGCTGCGGCAGCACCCTTGTACAGCCTCGCTGTTGGCCTCCCCATCACCAGACTAACCGGGGAGGGAAGACGGATTCTGGAACGATTTTCAGTGCGATGGCCGCAGTCTCCACTCTCACTGATCCCTTCAACAACTAGCACGGTAGACTTGCGTCTCTACGGGTCCCCCTCGCCCCAAGTGAAGATTTAGGAGAAGGAAAACTTACCGAAGCCCTCGCTGTTTAGAAATCGTAATTACCAGAACCTGGCGCGCCTCCCGCCCTCCCAGCCAAGCCATTGGCAACACGCAGGCGCACTTCTCGATCCCTAGGGTTGAATCCAAACGATCAGGCGTGCTCCCAACGGCGCCTGGGCATTTTGATACCCGAGCAGAAGCCTTTGCTTGCAGTGAGCATGCGTTTTCACTTCGCCTCTCAACCCCACCCTCACGCAAGGGGCCACGATCTCTCCTGCTAGTAGAGCCCTTCCCCTAAGGTCAGGCTTTCTCACAAGTACTTGAGTGCCACCACTTGGTGATATGTTTCTTCATTTACGACCTTAAAGTCCACTCAAAGCGCACCGCTCATTCCCTTCCCCGGTGTGTGTGTGTGTGTGTGTGTGTGTGTGTGTGTGTGTGTGTGTGTGTGTGTG